TACAGGTGGAGAATGAATCGTCGTCGGCGTGGAGTAGAATTCATTTACCACAGACACAGACAGACGCGTCAACAGACAGACCTCCACTGTTAGGTTATTGACAGGTAGGTGAAGTTAGCCACGCACACTCCCACACCAGAGCCCAGAGAGGAAATCACAGAGACACAGGAGCTGCTGGTCCACTGCTGCCTCCTGTGGTCACTTTGTGTCACTGAATGGTAATTCTGGACCAAGGATTTTAAATAGAAAGTCGGAGAATAAAACCATAGAACCTTTGAAGGTCTATCAGCTGACACCACTGTCTTTCTCTGTGGACTTGGACACAGCCTGCTGCTAACAGTGCTAACAGTGCTAACAGTGCTAACAGTGCTAACAGTGTTAGCAGGCTGTCAGATGATGGCCCAGTTGCAGAGTAAATGTGTGTAATAGTGCTAACAGTTCTGGTTTTGTTTTTTGTTTTTTTTTTTTTGTTTCTCTGGTCTCCAGTGAGCAGTGAAGGAAATCACTGAACAACAGTCGTTCTACAGTCGCCGCCACCGCTGTTGGTCTGTGGTTCCACGGCTGTTTGATATGATTATTCCGCAGCAGCAGCAGCAGCAGCAGGAGCAGCAGCAGGAGGCGCAGGAGGAGTGTTGTGTTGTGTTGTGTACAGTCAGCAGGGACTGTTGGTTTAAAAGTGTTCACATCAGTGTCAGTCACTGTTAGCGCTGTCATATTACAGCTGGAATCCACCGAGAATCGGTTCTAGCTCCAGCACATCACCCCCCCCCCCCCCCCCGGCCTTCTGTTGTTCCACCCATGCTTTAGTTTTTATTTTTAGCTAAATATTTATTCATTACTTCTGAAGATTTTTTTTAAAGTGAATAAATGAATGATTTGTTTGAGTTACTGTTTTTGACTCATTGTGTTGTTTCAAAGTCGACCTGGAGTTTGACTACGGGTGTGTTTTTGGCCTGACTCGTGTCAGTTTTAATTGTGTCCCAACTCAACTGTTAGCGGTGGCTAATGACTGTGCTGTGGATTAAACTGCTGCCGACTGACAGGCAGGTGAATCTGATCTTTTTTTTTATCTTTGATGACAGAAATCTGAAATAATTGGCTTCTCTGGGCTCAGACTGACGTTGGCCAGATTAGTGATTCAGCTCCTGATCCTGAGCCCAAAGACAAACCAGTTCAGTTCTGTCAGCTCTTTACAGACCATTTAAGGAACACAGGCGCGATTGTGCCTCCAAACGGAGCCGTACACCACCGCTGACCCATTTGGCTTCCAATTAACTTTTCTATTTTCTCTCTTTCACTTTCATTACTCTCCCTTTAACTGTTGCATTTTCATTTCTGCTGCCCGGGTGTGTTTTTCTGCTGTGACCTGAATCCACGATGAGCCGAGTGTGCGTGCGTGTGTGTGTGTGTGTGTGTGTGTGTGTGAGTGATGAAGACACACAAACCTGTGTCCATTCATAGCTGTGTAAGACATTCTTCTTCTGTCTCTTCATCGACTGCTCAGTGTTGGAAACCTCCCAGTGAAAGGAGGAAATTATTGATCCCTGGAAAATGTCACATCACGTCAGATGTCGGAGTGTTGACATGAGAGGAAATCAAAGAGCGACACAGAATCCCACTGAAATCTCTGCAACTGCCCTGTCATTTAGTTTCAACTGGCAGCGCAGAGTTAGCTCAGAAGAGCTAACATTTAGCTTAAGGCTAGTTAAGGGTTAGCACACTGGTTCATTAGACTGAATTTGATCAACGTTGACCTAAAATTGTGGTCAAATTATACATAGGAAAATAAGTCACAAATTAACCCTTAAAATGACCAAGAGCTAGCGGGGCTAGCATCACTGAAAATAAAGCAAAAAAAAGCTAGTGGCTGTGTGTGTGTAGTGGTTTATGGACAGGTGGCCTGTGGGCAGAATTGGTCCATGTGAGTAAAGTCCACCAGCTATTCTTAAGCAGTGGTTTATGGACAGGTGGCCTGTGGGCAGAATTGGTCCATGTGAGTAAAGTCCACCAGAAGAATGCTTTTATTCATTTAGTCCTCCGCCATTGATAGCGGAAGAATGCTTTTATTCATTTAGTCCTCTGCCATTGGTAGCTTAATGGTTAAGGAAGCAGACTTGGGTCTAGAAGGTTGCAGGTTCGAATCCACCACCTGCCCAGGGCAACCTATATTTAAAAAAAGCAGCGGTCACGTTTTGTTTTGTGCAGTGGTGAGTTGAGTCACAATGACAAGGAGTTCACTTTCCTTTCCTTCCTACCAATATAGATATAGAGAAAATCAGTGATTTTAGTTCAGACCAAAGTCCATAGAGAAAATCAGTGATTTTAAATGACACAGACAAAGCAGTTGCTGATCGTCTGCTGCCCTGGTTGAACACAACACTGTGTTAGGATGTTACTCAGTGACACGAACTGATCACAGGAGGCGGTCGTGGACCAACGTGTCCGTGTCTCCGTCCGTGGTATTTGAGGGGGTGATGACAGTGACTGTTAGTGTTTTCTCATCAGGAGATTTTAAGAACGTTGGTCCTCCATGTTATTCTGCAGGTTTTCACTCAAGACTTTGCAAGAACGTTGGTCCTCCATGTTATTCTGAGTCTAAGTATTTTGCAGGTTTTCACTCAAGACTTTGTGAAGTTTCCTCTTCAAAAACATCAGGTCTCCGTACATAACAGAGGAAAATCCCACTGTGGACTTGTGCTCCGCCTCTTCTACGCACCAACACTGCTCCCTGCTGTCCAATACCCGCCACTACTCATCGATGACAGGACGTAAATGAACACGGCAACAAACCTGCAGTTTAAAGAATGATCAGAGTGGAACTTTTCTCCAGCACAAACCACTGACGAAAAGTGTTTCACTGTTTTGAATAAAATGTTGTGTTTGAAAGACGTCCAACTGGGGCCTCAGCCGCAGGATCTGATCGGAGTTTATAAATGTTCCGCTGAAAGTATGTGTCAAAAACTCAATAGTGATCAACAAGTCATTCTCTGCTATTTTATAACTGGAGCGAGTAAAGCAATGACGCTAAAGATAAAAGCCCAAGAAGTAAAACTAATGAAACATGACTGTAGTTTAATTAGTCAAGCTCAGGAAACGGAGCAAACTGAGTGAAACTAAAGAA